TAGATAGATGTATAATAGAGTACTTTAAATTGGGAAGGGAGCAATAAGGGGAGAGGGCTAGGGGAGGGGATCTAATTATATTGTATGGTATCACAAAACTTCAATTTAAAATATATTAAAATTTTTCATTTAAAATCTTTGAGAACCCTGCAAAACTTGGAATGCAAAATGGTTGCAGTGGTAAACATGTGTAATCTCAGTATCTGGGCAGCTGACAGGAAGATTATGAGTTTGAGGCTAGCTGAGCTATACAGTGATACTTCACATCAAAACTCTCAAAACTTAAAACAAAAAAGTATCTTTAGATTAGTACCTCAAGTCCACGAAGCTGGGTCTGCTGGCTGATCTGATGGTTCAGTTGCTGTAATTCTAGCCGTAGTTGTTCTCTCTCAGCAGACAGAAGGGGTTTTCCATGACTGGCTACTTCTGACATGGACATTTTTTCCCTTTGGCAAGAAAGAAATCATGAAGCAATTTTTGAAATTTTATTTTGTTAAAGCACTACTGACCTCAAAAGCAAAATAAGAAAAGTTGTTTACATACTTATACAAGCAAAAAGAATGACCTGTACCTCTCACTGAAGTGTCCCTGAGAAGGTATGTTTGGATGAGGTGAATATGGAGAATCTCCCCAGCCACCATGAGCTCCATAAGGACTGTAATCTACAAGAGAAGAGTTTATCATGGTAGGATATAATTCACAAACCTGATTCATCTTCTAAGATACTACAATCTAAAAGGCATATAGATGTGCCAGATGTAATAGCACACACCTTTAATCCCAGCACTCAGGAGGCAGAGGCAGGTGGATCTCTGTGAGTTCCAAGGTCAGCCTAGTCTACATAGTGAGTTCTAGGCCAGCTGGGGCTACAGGGAGACCCAGTCTCAAAAAAGACATACATACATGTGGCATATATGTATTTTATTTACAGCTGTCTAGAATTTATATGCAAAAATGTAATAGTATATTATTTATTTCATCTCTACTGAACCTTCAGTTTTCATATATTTTCTTCTCTTTGAATTTTTAATGCAAATCTATCATTTTGGTGTGTGTATGTGCACATTATATGTGTGTGAGTGTAGAAGCAAAGAGTTATGTCAGGTGTTTTTCTCTATTTTACTTTTCTTCATTTTTTGAGACAGAGTCTCTCACTGAAACTGGAATTCACCTATTGGCTGGGCTAGCTGGCCAGACAGCTCCATGGATATGCCTGTCTCCATTCCCTGCAGCACTGGGATTTCAGACACATGTCCACATGCCTGGATTTTATGTAGGTTCTGGGGATCCAAACTCAGATCCTCATGTTTGTGAGGCAAGCATTTTACTCACTCAGTCATCTCCTCACATTCCAATAATCTATTATTTTATTAATTTATTATCTTATTTTTAAGTGTATAAGTGTATTGCCTGCATGTATGTAAGTGGGCCTGTGTCATGCAATGCCTGTGGAGGACAGAAGAAGGTGTCAGATCCCCTGGAACTGGAGTTATGGACAGTTGTTAGTTGCCATGTGGGTGCTGGGAACCGAACCCAGGTCCTCTGCAAGAGCAGTCGGTGCTCTTAACCACTGAGCCATCTCTCCAGTCCTGAATCTATTACCGCTGAGCCATCTCTCCAGCCCTGCAAATCTATTATTTTAACAAAGCAATGAAGCTATTTAAAGAAAAAAAGCCACAGGCATTTTTTTCCCCCTTTGAGACAGTCTCTAGCCCAGAATGGCCTGAAACTCACTCTACAGAGAGAAAAGGAATTTTCGGACTACCATGCCTGGTTTATGTGGTCCTGGGAAATGAACCAGGACTTTATGCATACTAGACACAATCTCTATAAATTGAACTACATCCCCAGCCCCATCAAGCAATCTTAGTTAATATTAATTTAAACTTTTTTTTGGGGGGGGGTCTTTTTGAGACAAGATCTTCCTGTAGCCCCAACTAGCTAACTTGGAACTCACTATGTAGACCAGGTTGGCCTTGAACTCAGAGATCCACCTGCCTCTGCCTCCTGAGTGCTGGGATTAAAGGCATGCATCACTATACTGGGTCTAGTTTACACTCTTAAAATTTGAAAAACATTACCTTGAAGATTGCTGAAAGCACTGTAAATAGGGAAGAATTATACTAAGTCATGACTAGTTTAACTCTGAGATTCTTACCTGAAATGTTAATAGATTTTGTGGGAGCTCCTTGAGGTGCCATAGCCTGCATTGGGCCGGCACCCTGATATAGTGTTTTGGATGTTCGAGAGATGGCGCCAAACCGAGATACTGTTGGACGATCTCCAAATGGGATGAGGTCATCATCACTGGTTTCCACTGCTCTTCTCTGAAGATCCAATCGTTGATCTCTCATTCCTTTACTTTCCACATTCTGATAAAAAGCAAAATGAGGATTCTATCTCTAGCAATTTTTAATAGCTCTGTAAAGAGGTTAAACGAGTACAATGCTTTTTAAAATTTTTTTTGTATTTTTGAGGCAGGCTCTCTTTATAGCCCCAGCTGGCCTGGAACTCATTATGTAGACCAGGATGGCCTTGATCTCAGAGATCTACCTGTCTCTGCCTCAAAGTGCTGGGATTAAAGGTGTGTGCCACCACACCCAGCTGAACACAATGCTGAACACTAGTAAGATTAAAATCACTAGTTGTCTTTGGAGTCACATAAAATGTTTTTTTTTTTAGATCTTGGACCACTACTCACAAAATTATGACCAATTATCAGTACAAATACACACAGAGAATAGATAGATAGATCCATTCATTCCTAAATAAAATGTATGCACACTAACCTGCCAGGCAAGCACTATACCACTGAGCTATATTCCTAGCCCACTCATTAATGCTTGAGAAGTGCTGAGTTAGACTTAATTTATGTATTTGGGAGGCTTTTAAATCCCAAATTGCATCTACACTAGGCTAGAATTTTTTTTGGGGGGGGGCGGTTCTTTTTGAGACAGGGTCTCCCTGTAGTTCCAGCGGGCCTTGAACTCACAGAGATCCTCCTGCTTCTGCCTCTGGAGTGCTGGAATTAAAGGCGTGCACCACCATGCCTTAATTGATTTAAGGAAATTAAATTTATTTTGCTAATGCTTACATTATTTTAGTGTAATAACCATATCTGAAAGCATCCCATATCATTCCACTTTAACTCTTTTTCTATTACCAAGAATTACTTTTAGCTTAACCAGCTATGTAAATATTAATATGAAAACCGATACAAATAACTAGGGAATTATTTCGGAGTTAATAAGGAAAAATGAATTAAAAATAGTGTCAATGAGTTGGGCATGGTGGTTCATGCCTGTACTCCCAGCATTTGGGAGGCAGAGGAAGGCAGATCCCTGTGAGCTCAAGGCCATCCTGATCTACATAGTGAGCTCCAGGCCAGCTGGGGCTAGAGGGAGACCCTGTTTCAAAAAGACCCTGCCCCCTCCCCCCTGAAAAAAAACAAAAACAAAATAAAGTGTCAAGGAATACCTTTCAAATCAGCAATACCACTTTTGCTGTGGTTTCTTTCTTTTTTAAAAAATTGTTTATTTTTTATTTTATGTGTATGAGTGTATTGTCTGCATGTGTATAAGTACACCTGTATCCTACAATGTCCGTGGAGGTCAAAAGAAGACGTCAAATTCCCCTGGAACTGGAGTTCAGCTGCCATGTGAGTGCTGGGAATCAAACCTGGGTCCTCTGGCAAGAGCAGCCAGTGATCTTAACCAATGAACTCTCTCTCCAGCCCCTTGTTTGTTTCTTCCAGATAGGTTTTCACTATGTTGTCCTGACTAGCCTGGAACTGACAGAGACTGCGCTGTTCCTGCCTCCCAAGTGCTACGATTAAAGTTGTGTACCACCACACCTGGTCCTGTTGTGTTTTATTGATACAAGCTCTTGCTACAGCCCAAGCTAATCTTGACCTAATCATACCCCTGCCTCAGCTATCAAGAGTGTTGGGATTATAGGTACGGGTTACCATATCTGGCCAGGAATACCATTTCTTTCTTTTAAAAAAAATATTTTATTTATTATTTTTATGTGTGTGACTGTACTGCCTGCATGTATAAATGCACTTGTGTCATGAAATGTCCACAGAGGCCAGAAGAGAGTGTCAGATCCCCTGGAACTGGAGTTACGAATGATTCTTAGTTGCCACGTGGGTGCTAGGAATTGAACATGGGTCTTCTGTAAGAGCAATTGGTGCTCTTAACCTCTGAGCCATCTCACCAGCCCCAGGAATACCATTTCTTTTTAATATCTTTTATTTATTTATTTATTTATTTATTTATATGTGTATGAGTGTATTTCCTTCATGTAAGTGTGCCCATGGAGGTCAGAGGAGGCATCAGATCTCCTGGAACTGGAGTTAAGGATGATTGTTAGCTGTCATGTGGATTGGATGCTGGAAATCAAACTTAGATCCTTTGCAAGAGCAGTCAGTGCTCTTAACTACTGACCCACTTCTCCAGCCCCCTACACTGTTCATTTAAAAAAAAAGAAAAAAAAAAAAGAACCATAAATTTCAAGCTCACTTGAAGTCAAGCAACAATTCAGACTCAAATACAATTTTCTTTCTTTTTCCTGGTCTTTTTGAGACAGGGTCTCTCTGTTCACCCAGCTGGTCTGGAACTCACTATGTAGACCAGGCTAGCTTCAAATTCACAGAGATCCTCCTGCCTCTGCTTCCCGAGTGCTGGGATTAAACTACAATTTTCTTTTTAAACAAAAAAGTTTACTGCACAAAATTTAAGGAATCTTCAAGCATGTATCTAGTACTAAAAAAGAACATTTAACATGCTTTTAAAAAAGCATTTATTTATTGCATATGCATGTATACATGCATGTGCTATAGTGTATGTGTGGAGGTCAGAAGACAATTTGTGTGAGTTGGGTCTCTCCTTCCATTGTTTAGGTTCAGTGCCTTAAACTTAGAACTTCAGGCTTGACAGTAAACACCCTTACATACTTAAGACATTTCACGAAGCCTCAACATGCTTTTTAACATTTTATTTGGGGGGTGGAGAGGAGATATGTATGCATGTGTGTGCTTGTGTGGAGGCTAGCGGTCAGTGTTGGATATCTTCTATTATTTTTCACCTGATATTTGGAGACAGGGTCTTTCACTGAACTTGAAGGGACACTGATTGACTAAACTGGCTAGTCAGCAATTTCCTGGGATCCTACTGTCACTGATTCCCAATGATGGGATTACAGGTGTGTACTACCACATCCAGCTTTTTATGTGTGTTTTGGGTATCCAAGCTCAGGCCCTCATGCTTGTATGGCAGGCACTTCAACCCACTGAATCATCTCCCAGCTCTCAACATGCTTAAGTTACATTCTGTTAAAGGTGACATCATTACCTGGAAAACTCCAACCTGAGGATTCTTTTTTGTGAGAAAATTTTTTATCAAAATGAGAAACTCAGAGGCTGGAGAGATGGCTCAGCAGTTAAGAGCACTGGCTGTTCTTGCAGAGGACCCCAGTTCAATTCCCAGCACCCACATGGCAGCTAACAACCATTCATAACTCCAATTCCAGGGGATCTGATGCCCTCTTTTGACCTCCCTGGGCATTGTACGACACAGGGGCACTTACATACACACAGGCAATACACTCATACACATAAAAACAATATTAAAAAAAGAGAGAGAAACTCAGGATTCAAAGTTTAAGGCCTGCTTGGGCTATAGAGAAATGAGGAACCTAAAATTACTCAATTTTCAAGACTCTTAAAACATCAAGGACTCTATATTTTTGTTTAAAGGCAAAATCATGGAAATAAGATGTCATGGTGGTTTTGTTAGCCTATGGCTCCTGCAGTACCCTCCTAAGAAAAGTACATTTTAAAACTGAAGCAGAGTTTAATCTTAACTTTCTGATCCAAATAATAATCATTTACTAGATTCAACTTAGTTATCTAAACTTCAGACTTGTAAGAAGAGTTTATTTGGTAAAGAAATTCAAGATCTTTTTTAAATTTTATGTGCATGCGTGTATTGCCTGCATGTATGTAAGTGCACCCGTGTCCTACAATGCCCGAGGAGGACAGAAGCTGTTAGATACCCTGGAACTGGAGTTATGGACAGTTGCTAGCAGCCATGTGGGTGCTGGGATTTGAACCAGGGTCTTCTTCAAGAACAGAAATTCAAGGTCTTTAAAAAATTATTTTAATTATATGTCTTTGTGTGTGTGTTGGAAGGGTGTGTATGTGACTGCAGGTACCCTCAGAGGACACTGGATCCCCCGGACCTGGAGTTACAAGTGGGTGTGAACCACCTAACATGGGTGCTAGGAGACAAACTCAGGTCCTCTGCAAGCAGTATGTACTTTTAACAGCTCAGCATCTCTCCAGCTCCAAAATCCAAGACCTTAATTAAATACATAATTTAACTTGGATTCTAAACAATTGTTGTGAGACTCCTACCTCAGCTCAAATATAATAACTGATCTTCTTTGACTAAATGATAAAAGACTGTCTATATCTGAATGAAACAAAATTGAAGCTCAATTATCTGTGCCTGAACTTTAATCGGTAAAAACTTATGTAACTTGATTTGTACTAATTACAGTTTAGCCATTACACATACCATCATTTCCACACTCCCTGCTGCCACAACATCTTTGGGTTTTGCATCTTTGGTTCCAATATAGGAGCCGATGGTATCACATGACCAAGGAGAATACTGGCTATAATCATTTGCTTTGTACTTCCCAGCCACCTTCAATTCTTCATCCAAAAACTAGATGGAGGGAAAAAGAAAATAGGTAATGTGTCTATGAGTTAATATAACAGAGAAAGCAGGGAACGTCCTAGAACACCACAATGAACCAATGTCATGATGGTTATTTGAGTACTAAGTGTTGGAATAGGTTTTTATAGACTGAAAAATATGTGAAGAATGATATTTTGGCCCACATATTTGTTACTGGCAGGCAAAAAAAGATGTCAACATCCTTCAATGAATCAAGCTAGGCTCTTAAGAGGTTTGCTCACTGCTGTTAGATGAAGTCAACATTTTGATCCTTCCTGATCTATATTTTAATAGCCTTTCATATAAACAAGAATATTAAAAGTATCTTAAAATGCTCTATCTAAAGCTGGGTGTGGTGTTGCATGCACACCTTGAATCCCAGCACTCGGGAGGCAGAGGCAGATGGATCTCTCTGTGAGATCGAGGCCAGCCTGGTCTACACAGTAAGTGCCAAGCCAAGTGGGACGACAGGGAGACCCTGTCTCAAAAATAAATAAATAAAGATAAACTAGTGGATGGTGATACCTCAACTCTTTACCGATACTTCTTTAATATTTCTTGTCTTGCAAGTATTCTGGCCCAGAGGTTGATTATCCTCTTCAGTTCTATAGGTACCCAGTAACAGAATAGCTATTCCAAGGATAATGTATGTTTATAAAATTACATTTCAAGGTGCTTCCATATACACTACCTCATACCCATCTCTCCAGCCCCCAGAACATAGCTTTTTAAAAACACATTACCAGGTAACTAGAGTGCTCCTCCACATGAACGTAACGTGTTATACAGTTACTAAGAAGAAGAATGTGATAAATTCATATACAGACTTCCAGATTAATTGGTTAAGCAAAAACATACAAAAGCAAAACAACCATAATCCATTAAGATGTCCTTGGGAACAGATAATTTCTTAATAGAGATTTAAAAAAATGGATAACGGTAACACTGATAAGCAGGATGAAAAATTATATTCTTACTTCTTCTTGATGGAAGGTAGGAGGCAATGTCGGTGAAGGTGCAAAAGGAGGTGGGGAGATAACCTTTCTTTCCTCTAGCTGGGCCATTATTTCCTTTCGTCTTCGATGTAACTCATCCAGACTAGGATGGGCTTGGGGAGGAGGAAGTCGACTATAAGGAGGCTCCTGAAATGGAAAGATTAGTTAAAATTGATAAAACTTAAGAACACATTAATTTATTAAATATATATTAAATCAGAAGCATCTTAACACCTGGAAACATCAAGACTGAAGAAAATAAAGAAACACAAAGCCCACCAAAACTCTCAAGATCTTCCAAAGAGCTAAGTTTAGGTTTCTTCTTGGCCAGAGATCATAATTTCCTAAAAGACTGTGATGGCTAATCCTGGGTGTCAAACTGATTGGATTGGGATTAACTGAAATGAAAGAGATCTTCTTGATTGGATCATCTAAAGCCGGAAGACACACCCTAAATGTGGGTGTTACCTTCTGATGGCAGCCGGTATAAAAGACCAAGGCAGAGGAGAATGCCAAGCTTCTTGCTGCTTGCCTTCTCTCTCACTGGTGAGTTCGTCTTGCTGCTGTAGACTGAAGACCAGCTGATCTTTTGGAATTTGTAAGACCTTCAGCGCCAGATTGGGACTACTGAGACATCCAGCCTTGTGGACTGAGCGACTACGGATTCTCAGCCTCTCCAGTATGGTGCAGCCATTGTTGGACTACTCAGACTCTATCCTCTGAGCTAAGCTGATAAATCTCTATACATATATACATTCATTCTACCGGTTCTGTTTCTTTAGAGAACCCTGACTAATACAAAGATCTAGACTTAGTACATAAACTAAGAATGATTGATTTGGAGGAGCTTCCATGAATAGCTTAAAAAAAATAACGTCAAATCATAAGACTTTTAGCTCTGGAGAGATGGCTCAACAGGTCAAGTGCTGCTGCACAAGCCTGATGATTTCAGTTTGAAACCTAGAACCCACATGAAAAGTCAGATGTACGGGGCTGGAGAGATGGCTCAGCGGTTAAGAACACTGGTTGTTCTGCAGAAGACCTGGGTTGGAATCCCAGCTCCCACATGGCAGCTAACAACTGTCAGTAACTCCAGACCCAGGGGATCTGACAGCCTCTTCTGACCTCCGTAGGCATTGCACGATACGGGTGCACTGACCTACATGCAAGCAATACATGCATACACATAAAATAAAAAAAACAAATAAAATTTAAAAAGTTGGATGTAGTGGGGCTCATCTGTGATCCCAGTATGCCTATGGAAACATGGGAGGTACAGAGAGAAGAATCGGCCTGAAGTTTGCAGGTCTGTTAACCTAGAGTATGTAACACAGGAGAAAAACCAAGACTGCCCAACAAGGTGGAAAGCAAGAACTAACTCCCTAAAAGTTCTCCTCTGACCTTCACAATGGTACTATAACATATGCGTCTATATAACATCATGCACACATACATCAAAATGAAAAAAATGTAAGTAAAGATGTTTTCATATAAAAAAGAATCAATTAAAGGATTATTACTATTGCAATATAAGTAAGGAATAAGTACTAATCAAATTAAATCTACATAATAAAAAATATAGCATACTCTGGGGTATGAAGGTCTGATCTGAGTTGGATGAGGAGCCACTGGATAGTAACCCTCCACTTGTTGGTATCTTTCTCTGGACTCAGGTACATAGGATGGTACTGCTGCAGGTGGAATCTCAATGGGTATAGGGCTTTCTCGGAAAATCTCCTCTCTTGTGTAAGACTGAGCAGGGTATACTCGTCGGCCATCATAGTGAGGTGGGTACATAGGTGGGTATTGTTGTGGTTGTGTACCATACTGCGAGTTTACAACACGATCTTGGAGGTAGGGTGGATAATGATCCAAGTATGGAGGACCAGGTTCAGGAGCAGATGGTGGAGGGCGGACAAAGCGGGACACACATGGTGGTGGCGTATAGTACATACCTATACAATACAAAAGAGGAACCAAAACCAATAACGAGCCAATCTATTTTTCTACATAAGATTTTTTTTCTTTTAAAACACTGAAATATGAACACCCGACACATTTCTTTAAAGGTTTTTCACACTGCTTATATACTTAGGTTAGCTTTGTGAGAATTACCAAGCAAAAATTATTCTTCGGGCCAGAATATAACTCAGTGATAGGGTGCTTGCTATAATGGACAAAGCCCTGAACTCAATCTTTGGGAACACCCTCCACCCCACACAATGCCTAGCCCCCAACAAAAACAAGTAAACATCTTGAAAAATCACTAGAAAAGATCAATCTACTTATAGTCCACAATAGATTGATCTTTCTTTCTGGTTTATCTTAATGCAAACACTGGAAATAAAAGATAAAAATATGTATATTTTGCTTGCATGTACGTATGTGCACCACATGCATGCAATGTCTGTGGAGGTCAGAAGAGGGCATCAGATCCCCTAGAATTGGAGTAACAGACAGTTGTTAGTCACTATGTGGGTGCTGGGAACTGAACCCAGCACTCTTTCAAGAGAAGCCAGTCCTCCTAACCATTGAGGCAGCTCTTCAGCCCCTGGTTTTGTTTTGTTATTGTTTTTGAGACAGGGTCTCACTATGTAGATCAGGCTGGCTTTGAACTCAAGAGATCCATATGGCTCTGTCTTCAAAGTGCTGGGATTAACTAGCTTGTTTTTAATTTTGAGATAGGGTCTTAGTAAGTTTCCCAAGTTGGCCTTGAACTCATTCTACTGCCCAGGCAAGCCTTGAACTTGTGATCCTCCTGCCTCAGACATCTCAGCAGATGGAATTATAGGCCTATTCTACCAGGCCTTGCTGCTATGAAGTTTTCACTATGAAGCTGAATTATGTGGAAGGAGATGGAGTATGTAAAAGGTCCACTTTGCTGGTGCACACCTAGTGGCTCCTCTCTGGCTCCAGAGTTCTTGAGACAATAGCTGTGGCAGTAGTGTCTCAATTTTTAGACTTTCACCTGGAACCAGCAGTTAGGATGGAAGGTTTTCATTTCTGTTTCTTCTCTGTACCTAGTTATGAGTGCACTTCTGTAGGTGGCACCATCTGCAGGCAGGGGGCCTGGGTTATATAAGAAGGCTAGCAGAAAGCAGATAAGAGAGCAAGGCAGTAAGCAGCTTCCTCCAGAGCTTGCCTCTGTTCCTGTTCTGACATCCCTCAGCAACGGATGTTATCCGTTGAGGTAATGGATGTTATCTCAAAGTATAAGCTGAAATAAATCCTTTCCTCCCAGTGATGTTTTATTACAATAACAGAAGACAAACTAAAACACTTTCTTCCCTTTTTCATAAAAGACAAAGTCTCATGTAGCCCAGGGTAATTGTAATACTTATTATGTAGCCAAGAATGACCTTGAGTTTTCTGATACTCTTAAACTCTACCTCCTGAGCGTTAGTATTATAGGCATGTGCCATCGCACCTAGTTCATGCTGTAATGTAATCAAACCCAGAGTGTCCTGCATGCAAGTACTCTACAAACTAAGCTATATCCTGGGTCATTCAATTTCTTAAGCTAATATTAACTTACTACAACAACAAGCAAACAATACCCTTATATATAAAAAGTTTTCTATTCTTTATTATTAATCTGACTACTATAAACCTTCTAAAGACAGGTACACAACATTTTTTCATATATATATTGCAAGGCCAATACTGATAATTAAAAGGAAAACATATTGTGTATTTAGTTTACACCCAAATACATAAGAACTTCTTTCATTCTTGAAGAAAATTTTGGACAGTCTTTCTCAGTAAACTTAATCAATAAATGTTAATTCCCATGTATAATTTTTACATTTTTTTTTATCTTTTACCAATGCTAAATTTAGGTGGCTTAAATACAGGAACATGTTTACCATGTAAGTACATTAAGCAGGTAAAGCAGTTTAACTGGCCATAAAAATCTCAGTTGTTCAAGTATTAAAGGAAGCCACTATGTAAATAATCATTCTTACCTGGATAATTCTCATACCTCCTAAGAAAAGTGAATGACATAAATGAAACATCATTACCCTGCTGATAAGGTGTTGGTTCAAATGGTGGGGCAGTTCCTCGAGGATCCTGATAATAAACATCTGCTTGTTGTGCTGGATATAATTGAGAACCTCGAGGTACCATCTGAATTGGCTTGGTGACAGTCATGGGAGGCAGATCTGTTGGCACCCTTGGAGGTACAGGATGTGGATTCACAGGTAAGGCAGAAATACACTTAGGGGCAGATTCCAGCCTAAGGGAGTAAGATTATACAAGGCAAGTTTAAACTTAAAAAAGTCTCTAAAATACTTCTAATGTACATAAATTGTTTCACTTTTAATAAAAAGACTGCCATTATTTGGGAAACTGATTTATTCTAATATTAATCCCTTCTATAAAAATTCACACATTTTAATCTTTTTTAAAATCTATGCTAACTATCCCTAGAAAAAAATTTAGTGCAGGAAATAGAGGTAAAATGTAACAAAATGAAAATTAAAAAGTTATTTTCTGGGCTAGGGATTGCTTAATTGGTAGAGTGCTTTCTTTTTTTTCTTTAAACTTTCTTTATTATTATTATTTTTTTATGTGTATGCGTGTATTGCCTGCCAGGACTCTCCTCATGCAGGTAAGTGCACCCTTGTTGTGCAATGCCTGCAGCAGTCAGAAGAGGCTGTCGGATCCCCTGAGACTAGAGTTATGGACAGTTGTTAGCTGCCATGTGGGTGCTAAGATTCGAACCCAGGTCTTCTGCAAGAACAACGAGTGTTCTTATCTGCTGAGCCATCTCTCCAGCCCCAGAAGAGTGCTTTCTTAACATGTATAAGGCCCTGGGTTCAATCTCCACTATGACATCAACTAGGAATGAAGATGCTGGCCTGCCTATCATCCCAGTACCAGAGAGATAGAAGTAGGAGGACCACAAAGACAAAGTCACTTTGGCTACATAGTGAGTTCAAGGTCAGCCTGAACGACCTGAGATCTGAGATGCTATCTCAAACAGAAGCAAAAAAAAAAAAAAAAAAAAAAACCCAGTTAATTGTTTTCTTTAGAACAAAACATTATTGCTTTGTCTAGCTATTTATATAAGGAAGAAACTTTTAAGAATCTGGACGTACAGGTCAGGAGGGGATCCAGGAGCACTACTGCTCAGATGATCAATCTTTGCTGGTTTTAGACTAGAATCATAGCTGGGGTCTGTCCCACGTGGAATCAACTGTGTTACTGTATTCCCTGCTGATACAATTCCATTTGGTAGCGTAGGAGGTTTCCTGCTAGACAAATCCACTGCACCTTCATCTGGAAGTATAGGGGCTGAAGGCAGGCCCACCTCATTAAGTTGACCCAAAGAGGCACTCAGAGGTCTTCTGGGAACCAGACGTTTATTCATTTTACGAAATCTAGACAAAAAGCAAAGGCATACACAAAAAACGAAATACAGAAGCAAATTCTAGAATAAAATGCACCCTCTCTTAAAAACATTGGCTTATCAACTTGAAAGCTGTTGTGAGTATATTTTCTATAAGATCTCAAACAGCAAGACATAATAATAAAACATGACCATTTGTTAGTATCTGTGACATTACAATCACATCATTAATATTTCTACTATAATATTTGTTGAAATTTCTATTTCTGAAACTTAATTTGAGGAGAGGTACAATAATCTTCAGAAGACACTTTGAAGTATTTTACTTTTATCTTTCCTCAAATATATTCTGGGGATATAATGAACCTATGTTATAAAACAAGAAAAAGACGCTGGAGAGATGGCTCAGCAGTTAAGAGCACTGGCTGCTCTTACAGAGGACCCAGGTTTGATTCCCAGCACTCACACGGAGGCTAACAACCACTTGTAACTCCAGTTCCAGGGGAATTCAAGGCTCTTTTCTTACCTCCACAGGCATTGCATGACACGGGAGCACTTACACACATGTAGGCAATATACTCATACACATAAACAATAAATAAAATATATTTTTTAAAAAAGAGTAAAACAGGGCTGGGGGTATAGCTTGGTGGTAGACAAAACCTTAGATTCACTACATAACAAAATAAAACAAAATAAACAAAAAGGAATAAAGCAAAAACAATATCAATGAACACTGTGAAAAGTTTACGATTTGCTATACTAAAACATTTAAATAATACTGACTATTTTACTTGCTTTTTCCCTAAGTACATTTATTTTTCTTGACTAAGTATTTCCTAGGTTGCTGGTGATTAATTTTTAGAGATCTGGAAAAAATTGACAGTTAAATACAGATGGCTTGGAGAATTTGCATGTCATTCTGTCATTCTTGCATAAGGGCCATGATAATCTTCTCTGTATCATTCCAAATTTAGTATATGTATAGCAAGAGCAAGCACTTAATTTGACTTTTATCAGAATTACTTCAGAGACACTGATATTATGTGTGCCTACATAACAAAAATTTATTTTTAATTAATTTATTTAATGTGTATAAGTATATTGCCTGTAAGCATGTAAGTGCACCTGTGTCATGCAATGCCCATAGAGGTCAGAAAAGGGAGTCAGATCCCCTGGAACTGGAGTTACAGACAGTTGTTAGCTGCCATGTGGGTGCTGGGAATTGAACCTAGGTCTTCTGCAAGAACATCCAGTGCTCTTAACCTCTGAGCTATTTCTCCAGCCCCCCCAAATTATTTTAAAAGTAGGTTGATACAAAATAGCCTAAGTATAAAAGATAGTATGATAAAAAGACAACATACAGATTCTAAGCCTAACATTGGGAGAAATAGTCTTTTCCTGGGGAGATATGAAGAAATATTTAATCACCTCCGGTAGAAGGCACCAACAAGCTATAGAAAGAGTCCATCATGGGAGTTACTTATAGGCGAAATGGGAGACCTTGGCCAGCTGAATCACTGACAAGTCTTGCCCTCACAGATGAGTGACTCCTGGGCAGCTGCACCACTAAAGAGCCCCCATGGTCTCATCAGTAACTCCAATAAACTCACTCACTGGTTCATAAAACTGAATGTGGACAGAGTCCATTCTTTTGGTCCTTTGGTGCCTTTTGTACCTCAGGTAAATAGATGTTTCTTTGCACTTTCCCAAGAAAAGTCACATAATACTTGCGAATGGGTGAGACGACATTTCTTTATGCCGTTTCAGGAAAAGTTAAGTAACACTTACTGAAGGATTATAGAAATTTTTATAAATGTCTTGCTCCTCTCCAAAACTATTATAATTCCTGACAATAAAAGAAACTGTCTTCTAATTTCATCAAATACTAGGTGCTGTAAGTTTTTTAAAACAATTGTTTGAATTTGCATTTCTTTAATATTTAGTGAAGCTGTATTCAGTTTCCTATGTGTAGTGGCCACTGATACCACTTCTGTGAATTGTCTGTTTGCTACAGATTGGCCATAATTTGGGAATGCTCAGAGGATCATGTGTTGGGAACTTGGTTCTCAATGCAGCAGTGTTAACACATGGCAGGACCTTTAAGAGGTTGGGGCCTACAAGTGGTTTGATCATGGGCATAGCCCTTCAAAGGGATTAATATTTGGCTTGTGGAATGAATCAATTTCCCTTAGAATGTATTTTTATTAAGCAAACCACCCCATGAGCTTGGCGCCTTCTTTTTTCACTTTCATAAAAACATGGGGCACATGGGATGGGGGTAGATGAGAGGTGTATTCATTCACAAGTACTTGTTCCTTGCTGTTTGAACTCACCAGCCATCAGAATCAAGTAAATGTCTTTACAAGTTCCCATCCTCGGGTATTTTGTTGTAGCAACACAAAACTGAGACACCATTTACATTCATGAGCCATAAGTATACTGGTTCGTATATTATGGATTTGTAGGAGCTCATTTAATGTTAGAGATACCAGCCCTTTGCGTGTAGTTTCTCCACTAATCTTTTTAATTGTGGAATTTATGTCATATGTTTTAAATCTTATGTAATTAAACTTCTCAATTGTTTCCTTTTTTGTAATTAAACTTCTCAATTGTTTCCTTTTTTTGAATAATAATGGGCTCTTCATTAAAAACAAACAAACAAACAAACAAAAAAAAAACAACTTCTTTTAAGACCTAGGTGGCACATGCTTTTAATCCCAGTAGCCAGGAGGCAGAGGCAGGCAGAGCTCTGTGAGATAGAGGGCAACCTGGTCTACACAGTGAGTTGCAGGTCAGCCAAGGCTATAGGGATACCCCATCTCAAAAAGAAAAAGCAAACAAACAAAAAATTACTTAAGATTATTTGACAACAAAACTCTACTCTTTAGTGCTCCATGTTCCCCACCCCGCAGCCCCCACTACTGAAATCTCTTGACACATCTATATAGATCCTGATACAAAAAAAAAAAAAAATTATTTTAGCAGAAAGATTGAGGTAAGAATCGTTCTGATGGATAGCAGGTATTTCACAGTTATCTTTTCTGTTATCTGAGGTGAAATGCTATCTTTAGCACACTAAATGTTCCTGTATGTTTTACAAAGTTCCTATTTCTATGGGGTACCACAGTATTTATAAACACTTTAGTTCATATTATAAGTTTATTCACTTTAGCTCATAATACAAGTTTAACAGTTACTAGTTCAGTTTGTTGAAGACATCTTTGGAATTTTCCTATATAGTGGAATACATTTATTCCTTGCAAATCACTGTTAGACCCTTAAGGATCACCATATGGAGACTTTAGTTAGGAATTCACAAAATTTACTTAGAGAAAACTAAAGGTCTGTAATATCAAGGCTGATACAAGAACATAATATACTTCATAATTTATTCAAATTTTCTCATATGTAAAGAGGACAGGGTTTTTTGTTTGTTTGTTACTGGGTCTCATACAGCCCAGGCTGGCCTCAAACTTACTATGTAGTTGAGGGTAACCTTGAATTCCTGATCCTTCTGCTTCCAAAGTACTGAAATTATAGGCATGTGTCGCCCTGTCTGGTGTAAAAGGGATCTTAAATTTCAGGGATTAAAAAAATTTTTTTTAATTAATTTATTTTTATTTTATGTGTATAAATGTTTTGTCTACATGGATGTAAGTGCACCACATGCGTGCAATGCCTGCAGAGGCCAGAAGAGAATGTCAGATTCCCCTGGAACTAGATGGTTGTTAGCTGCCATGTGGGTTCTGGGAATAGAACCCAGGTCCCTCCACAAGGGCAGCAAATGCTCTTAACCACTGAACCATCTCTCCAGCCCACTACATTGGCTTTTAAGATATAATTTATTGCTGGACATGGTGGCACATGCCTTTAGTCCCAGCACTTGGGAAGCTGAGAGGCAGGTGGGATCTCTGTGAATTCAAGACCAATCTGGTCTACATAGTGAGTTCCAGGTCAGCTAGGGCTATAGGGAGACCCTGTCTCAAAAAAACAAAAACAAAACAAAACAAAAAAAATTAACACTGACAAAGTATATTTCTGTTGTATTATGGTATTTTCACCTATAATTCAATCTGGACTTTATTCCAATGCCTTGGTATTTTTTTCTAAGTTATGGCAATTATATTGCATTAATAATGGATTAAGTGATATCTATTTTAATGTATTTGTGAATCCTATTTTAATTTGGGGGATTTAAAATATTGGTCTATGACACAGATTTGCAGTTTTCTTTTTCTTACTTTTGCAATGCTGGGGACTGAGTTTATGTATTCTAGGAAAGCATATTATACTCAGCCACATCTTTGATTCCTGAAATTTAATTGTGTTATCTTTGTCTAATTTAGTATTATGACACTGGCTTTGTGAAAAAAATTAAGATTTTTTTTTTCTTTCTTCAATATGCTGGGAAATTTAACAAATTATCTGGTACCTGATGTTTCAAAGAACAAGTTAAAGCCAACAAATGTTTTGACTAAAAATATATTATGCAATTAGTAAAAATCAATTAAAATTGGTAAAAAGTACTAGAATTTTTTGGTGTGAAAATGACTCATTTGAAATCTAATTAATAATAAAATACAGCTTCTCATCTATAGGAACAATGCAATAAAAGTGGAAGAGGGGCTGGAGAGACGGCTCAGCGGTTAAGAACACTGACTGTTCTTGCAGAAGACCCGGGTTTGAATCTCAGCACACACATGGCAGCTAACAACTGTCCGTAACTCCAGTTCCAGGGGATCTGACAGCCTCTTCTGTCCTCCGTGGGCATTGCATCTCTTCTGTTGTCCACGGGCATTGCACGACATGGGTGCACTTACCTACATGCAGGCGTAACACTCATACACATAAAATAAAAATAATAAAATATTTTTAAAAAAGAAACTTTTTAAAAAACACATTAATTCATAAAACTCCCTATGTATTGAAGAGAATTTAGTTATTCTTTTTGCATTCCTCAAGACCAGCAAATTACTCCTATTCCAAAGGCTGTATCTCATGATTTTCACACTTACTTTTCCAGTTCCTCCTGTGAGTGTGCAAATGTACAGCTGGCACCACGAGGGCACCCTCCCCTCTGCTTCATATCTCGACACATGTATGTTTTGTATTTGCTGTGCTGTGGAGGCTAAGATCAAGATCAAAACATTAGACATAAAACAAAACCAGTGAAACATAACAAATGCAAATTTTTGTTTCCAGTTTAGGATTCTGATAATGTAGGCAGCAAATTTAGACTAATTCTCATATTTATCTAAACTACTCAGAGCAAAAGTATTAGAAAGTCACAGAGTTCAAAATTAAATTACTATTATTATTATTGTTGTTGTTGTTGTTGCTGTGGGGGGTGAGCATGTGGAGGTCAGAGAACAAATTTATGGAGTTGGTTCTTTCCTTCCACCTTTACATAGATTCCAGAGATGTCGTCTGGCTCTCACAGCAAGAGTTTTTGCCTACTGAGCAATCTTGTCTGCTTCAAAATTGAAATTTAAAAGTGTCCTATTTTATTTTTAAAAAAGTCTTAAGCCAGACTGGTCTACACAGAGCATTCCAGGGGAGACTCTGTCTCAACAAAACAAAACAAAAAAAGTCCTAATTGTTTTTTGGTCTTTTTTGAGACAGGGTCTCCCTGTAGCCCCAGCTGTCCTAGAACTCACTATGTAGACCAGGCTGGCCTTGAACTCACAGAGATCCACCAAGCGCGGTTAAAAAGTCTTAATTTTTTTCTCTGACATTCTGACAGTCTCAGATATGTGTGGCATCAAAAATATCAAGGGTATCACTATGGTTTTCTTCTTTTGTTTTATACAGACTTTCAAATGAGTAAGCAGGCATGGCTGTACCTGCCAGTAATCCCAGCATTTAAAAGGTGGAGGCAGGAGGGTCAGGAGTTAACATCTTCCTTAGCAATAAGTAATTGCATGGCTAGTCTGGGCTACATGAGATCCTGTCTCCCAAAAAACAATGGCTTTCAAATGTATATTCTTTTTTATTTAGAGGATGATTTGAGACGCTAGTGTAATAAACATTATTAATGAAATACCTCAAAATACTAACAAGGATAAAACATCTAGGCATAAATGAAAAGTACTGGTGATAAAGCAGTGGTACCAGTAAGTGACAATTATCAAACAAAGGTAATACAAAATGATGATCCTATTCAAATGGAATAAACTTTACCACAGAATCTACTTTTATCCATCAAATGTTGCTACATCTAATGTGAAGTGACCCCAAAACAACATTAGATCAATAAGGATTATTTAAATATTGTCAGATAATATTACTTAGGCAAAACTAATACATGGACTGATAACCATGCTAATTTATAATTTCTCTAGTTGCAGTTTCAAAGTTTTCATATAATCTTTGGTTTTATATCTGTACCTGCAGTGGCTATATATGGACTTCGAACTACACTCTCTTACCTGCTGCTGATCTGCTCCTTTTTTGCTGTGGTTCTGGATATAATCAACTAGCCCATGTACTACTGTACGAACAGCAACCAGGCCATTTTCTAATTGTTCCCACGTAGGAGGAGGAGCATCTATATAAAATAAATAAATAAACTATATGTTACACAATATTTTCTTCAGTACTAAACTAATAAAGATATTAGAGGCAGCATTTTAGTACAATCAAGTTAAGCACTATACAGCTTTTCAGGCAACTAATTCACTTAGTCATCTGTGATGGAGAGTGTTAACTGTCAACTTGATCTAGAATCACCAGAGAGATGGGCTTCTGGGTATGCCTGTGCGGGATTACCTTGATTTTGCTAACTGATATGGAAAGACCCATCTTAACTGTGAGTAGAACCATTCCTTGGACAGGGGATCCCAAACTATTTAAAATGGAGAAAGAAAGCTGAGCACTAATTTGCAGCCAGCCCTATTTCCTGACTGTGGATGTGATATGACCAGTTGCTTCAAGCTCCTGCTGCTCTAAGTTCCCCAACATGGACTGTCCCTTGAACTGTGAACTAAAGTAAACCTTTTCTCTCTTAAATTGCTTTTCACGGGGCATTTTGTCACAGCAACAGAAAAGTAAGACAAAAATTAAACTAGCATACTCTTTTAAAGCTAGGGGTACAAACTAAAATAATCAGAGAAAAGGAAGTAACAAAGGAATTAAGTAAGCCAAATGATAATGGCAATGGTCAACAGACCCATTAGTGTCCAAGCAACAAAGTGACAGGGGCTGTGTTGAGATGAAGAAGAATACGTCTTTTATAAAGTTACAAAAGTCTCAAAACTCATTAAATATAGTAAATTTGTAAGATAATGTGGAGGTTTGAATGAGAATGTCCCACACAGACTCCAAGTATTTGGACATTATGTCCCCAGTTGGTGGTGCTGTTTTGGGAGGTCTTAAAAGGTGTGGCCTTGCTGGAGGAAGCACATCACTGGGGGCAGGATTACAGAGTTCTTAAGCCTTGCAGGATATCCAGACAAGCTTTCTTGCTTCCTGTGCCTGCTTGAACATGTGAGAGCTTTGCTTCTGTTCCTCCTCCAGGCACCCTGCCACTGCCATGCCTCCCCGTCATTTCCCTGGAACTGTAGCTCAAATAAACTCTTCCTTCTATAAGTTGCTTTGGTCAGTGTTTCTATCACAGCAACAAAACAGTAACTAACACAGATAACATGATGTTTAAAGCTGTAAGACTAATTATATTATCTTGAGAATGCAAATAAATAGAAAACACTCAAAAGGTCAGACACTATGGAGATGTGAAATCAGTAGAGGACACTGACAAAAGAAGTAAGAGAATGTGCTAGCCTGGAGGCAAAGAACAAAAAGGGGTTTCAAATAAAGGTAAAAAGCAATGCCATGGGGGCTGAGAAGACATCTCAGTTGGAAAAATGCCTACCATGGAAGAATATGGACTTGGGTTTACAATCCCAGAAAAAAGTAAAAAACTGAGCATGGGGGCTGGAGAGATGGCTCAGCAGTTAAGAGCAATGGCTGCTCTTGCGGAGCATCGATTCCCAACACCCATATGGCAGCTAACAACTGTCTGTAACTGCAGTTCCAAGGGAATCCGATGATATCTTCTGACTGCAGGCATTGCACAACACAGGTGCACTTACCTACATGCAGGCAATACACTCACACACATAAAATAAGAATAATAAACATATTTTAAAAAATGATCATGGAGGCTTGTGCCTGTAACCCCAGCCTTAGGGGAGGGAAGAAGATGGCAAGGAGAGGTGGTAGAGATGGGTAGAACCCTGAAACTCAATGGCCAGATTGCCTAGCTGAAATGATGACCTTCATGCTCGTGACTCAAAGAATAAAAGTAGAGAGTGACTAGCTGGACGTGGTGCTGCACGCCTTTAATCTCAGCACTCGGGAGGCAGAGGCAGGCGGATCTCTGTGAGTTCAAGGTTAGCCTGGTCTACATAGTGAGTTCCAGGACAGCTGGGGCTACAGGGAGACCCTGTCTCAAAAAGACCAAAAAAAAAAAAAGTAAAGAGTGATTAAGGCAGAGGCACCTGACATCCACAGGACACCCACATATACCCCATCATCCCTTCCACACAGAGTAATTTTGACAAAATAAGAAGTTTGGATAGAATGGTAGACCAAATGCCTGAACAGAGTTCAAGACAGTGCTACCAGAACTGGAGACATAGCTCAGTGACAGAGTACATGCATAGCAAATATAGGCTGCAGTATGAACCACTGAAAAGACAGCAAAACATGGTGCCATTAAGAAGGATATAGGCCATGCATGGTGGTACACGCCTTTAATCCCAGCACTCGGGAGGCAGAGGCAGGTGGATCTCTGTGAGTTCAAGGCCAGCCTGGTCTACATACAGAGTTCCAGGACAGCTGGGGCTACAGGGAGACCCTGTCTCAAAAAGACTGAAAAAAAAGAGTTATAGCATTTCTTTTTTATTTGGTCAGAATGCTCAAAAGCAAAAGAGTAGGGGGCGGAAAAATCACCACACACACACACACAGACAGATTTGATTTGATTAAACCATTTTTAGAGTAAGTCTGTAAAAAGAGAGTGATAAAAGATTAAAGAGGGTCTGAGGATTATTCTATAAGCAACGGATTGTTACTAAAAGTTTATATGTAGAAATAAGATTAGAGAAGTGATTTATTTTGCAGCAGTAAGCAGCCTAAATTAGAAGAATCAGTGGCAGAAGAAATGGAAAGTATAAAGTCTCAGAGGAAAGGAAAAAGGCTCTCATTAAGGCAGAAATAATAAACGTGGATTAGAGGGACTTATCAAATAAGAGCATATTAAGCCTTTTGTCTAAATGGTATGTAGAGCAAGTGAAAGAAAACAAGACAGGAAAAACACAGAAGAGCAGGCATCAAATAAGGATGAGATCAAGAGTAAATGATGTTATATATCAAGAAGCATTTGGGAAGTGGATCTGAAGAGAAAACAGAGGTCTTTAGGAATCTATTTTTATACAGAGATATTGTTGAGAATACAGAGGAAACAAAGTTCCAAGAGCAGTGACTGCATCTTTGTGGGAAGGAGGAAGAGGGGTACTAGATACAGACAAAGCAGCACTTAAGTCAGAAGAGAACATGAGATTGAAGAAAGATAAGGTACCAGAAAGTTTCTGCATCAAGGAAAAGGCTAGTAACATTATCAAATGCTAAAGAAAAATGAAGTAATTAAAGATTAAGAAGTCATCTCCTGGAATTAAGAGTCCAGAAAACCACTACTGAGTAGTAAGAGGACTTCAAATCAATAATAGGATAGGATAAAAGCTAAACTATCTTTGAACTACAGGTAAAAAATAAAGATTGAGTATATTTTCAGGGCAAAGAGGTGTGGGAAAAGATTGACAAAGTAAAGGCATACAAAAGTATAATTATTATTAGAACAAGATACTGAGAAGGCAAGAATGGGATAAAGAAAATGTAATGAAGGATATATAATACAGAAAAACTGAGAAAATTTGAGTTCTGACAAAGATGTGAGAAAGGTAAAATACAGCATGATTTTGTGACAGGATAACTGAAGAATCACTGAGTAGCCCTCCAAACACATTAACACTCCATTAATTTTCCTTTGGTTTGTTTACCTGGACTAGGGTCAATGTTTGCTAGTAGCTCCAAATGAGGTCTTAGTCGGTTCAAGTTAGCGGGGTCTCCAGTCCGCTGAAGAGCAATTGTTAGCTCCTGAACACTCTGTGCAAAAGAGGCTGGGGTCTGCAACTTAAATGAAAAAGATAAACATTAATTTTCCCAAATGCCAGAGAATTCTTGTAAAATAAAATGTTTATCATTTTTGCTTTTTTGGGGGGGGGTGTTGAGACAGGGTCTCCCTGTAGACCCCCAGCTGGTCTAGAACTTACTATGTAGACCAGGATGACCTCAATCTCACAGAGATCTGTCTGCCTCTGCCTTCCGAGCCCTGGGATTAAGGGCATGTGCTACAACACCAGGTTTCATTTTTGTAATTTATTAAATTTAGTTTGTATCTACCTATCTATCCTATGCTTTGACCAGACTGAATTACCTGCTACCTAACAGATACGCTCAGCTTGGTACAGTGTGCAATATACTCTGTTCCCTCTTGCTATCACATACCTTTCTCGCTGTGACAGTACTTTTCTTCTATTTTCTTCCTATAGCACTGTATTAGCTGGGCTCTTGGTAGACCTTCCAAATAACTGAACTTTGGAAGTATGATCTAGAAATAATGCTATACAATAGCAAGAATAATGGCACTGAGTACAGGCACCACTGCATGAGTTCAAATTCTATTAAACCGAAGATTACAACCCTAAATATAAACTGTACAAACTGAAGTTCACATAGTACAGCACAAAGAATCCTGTGTTACACTTCCATTGCAGGATAGAGAAATAAAACTGGAACTGACCTGGAAACTTCCCTGTTGGCTAGCTTTCATAGTGCCAGAAGGTGCTATGAAAGCTGTTGGAGGAGACAAACCATCAACAGTCTTATTACCTAGCACTGGACCCTGCATCCTACAATAGTAACCTGCCAGGCCAGATGTGCTCACTGATACAATAATACAATAGTGACATGAAGGTTATGAAGGTGACCAACCACTGCTATTATTGTTGTTGTTGTTATTATTATTAGTGGCTTAATATCAAATATTATTAATGGCATTGACGCTTGCTCCACATGAGGGAGTTCATGCTTGGTATAGTAAACCTAGTCAAAAATCCATGGCTGAGGAAGTCATAGAGGGAACCTACTATCATTGTGCTAAATGAACATGTTGTCAAACTGCCTTCTTAATATTTAGTTTTTTTAAAAAAATAATTATTTTATGTGTATGAGTGTACTGCCTGTATGCAAGTGCACCTGTGTTGTTCAATGTCTCAGATGTCAGAAGAGGGCATTGGATCCCCTGAAACTAGAGTAACTGATGGTTGTTAGCACTATGTGGGTACTGAGTACCAAACCTGGGTCCTCTGTAAGAGCAGCCTGTGCTCTTAACCACTGAGCCATCTCTCCAGCTCCCTTAATATTTATTGTTTATACCCATAGATCAGTGCTGCTCTCAACCCTGATCAAAGAAGCTTCCTTTTGCAGTAGGCAGCAGTTAATTCAGACTCATAATGGTCAAAGTGATGAGACTAAGGGACTACTGAGTATTAAGCCCTAAACAGAACATCTATATCACCTTACCACTACCATCATCAAGGCTCAGGGAACATCATGGAAGAGGAGGTAGAAAGAATCTAAGAGTTGGAGGATGGGGAGAAGTGCTGTGAAATGCTGTTCTTTGGATATAACATAGCCATTGCACTCATGAACTTATAGTAGCTATGGTTACCTGAACAAAATCAAGCCTGTCAACATTATAGCATGGACTGGAGAGGGACTCATGAGGTCTGATACCCATGTGCACTCAAGCAGAATTAACTAGACTTGGTGAGTTCTTAAAAACAAAAATGAGCCAGGTGTGGTGGCACATGCCTTTAATCCCAGTGCTTGGGAGGCAGAGGCAGGTGGATCTCTGTGAGTTCAAGGTCAGCCTGATCTAAATGGTAAGGTCCAGGCCAGCTGGGGCTACAGGGAGACCCTGTCTCAAAAAGACCCCGCCCCCCCCACAAAAAAACCCCCAAACCAAAAATGAGTACATGAAAGAAGTAAAGAGGGGTTGTGCTGAAGTAGGGGTTAAGTAAAAAGGGGCAGCTGGGGGGTAGATATGATCAAATATATTGTATACACATATGAAATTGTCAAAGAATAAATACGAAGTATTTTTTAACTATTCTGTTAGTTTGAGATCTTGAAGGCAGTATATTTCTCCAAAATTTAGTGAGACATTGTCTTCCGACGGCCTTTCTCTCTTATATACGACTTTAAAAAAATATATTTTAAAGTATTTCCTTATAATGTTCTGTATTTTTCTGGCGTCTGTGTGATGTTTTCCCTTTCATCTCTGATTTTGTTGATTTGGAGGTGCTCTTTCTTTCTTTTGGTTAACTGAGCTAGTGGTCTGTCAATCTTGTTAATCTTTTCAAAGAACCAGCACTTGGAATTGTTGATTCTTTGTATTGTTTCGTTTCAATTTCATTAATTTCTGCCCTGATTTTTGTTATATCTTCTTGTCTGTTGGGTTTGGGTTTCGTTTGCTGTTGCTTTTCAAGTGTGTTGAGTTGCAATGTTAACTCATTTATTTGTGCTCTTTCTGATTTTTTGATGTAGGCACTTAGAGCTATAAACTTCCATCTAAGGACCGCTTTCAGAGTGTCCCAGAGGTTTTGTTATGTCATATTGTCCTTTTCATTTAATTCCAGGAATACATTTATTTCTTTCTTAATTTCTCTTTTGACCCATTCATCATTCAGGAGTGTGTTGTTTAATCTCCATGTGTTCATGTGGTGATTAGGGCTTCTTCTGGAGTTGATTGTGTCACTGCATTGTGGACTGATAGAATGCATGGAATTATTTCAATCTTTTTGTATTTGTTGAGGTTTGTTTTGTGCCCTAGTATATGGTCGATTTTGGAGAAGGTTCCATGGGGTGCTGAGTAGAAAGTATGTCCTTTGGTGTTTGGGTGGAATACTTGGTAGATGTCTGTTAAGTCCATTTGATATATAGTACTGTTTAATTCAGATGTCTCTGTTAACTCTCTGCACTGTTGACCTATCTAATGGACAGTGGGGTATTGAAGTCGCCTACTATTAATGAGTTGGGATTATTCTGGGTCTTAAATTCCTATAGTAGTTTTTTTTATGAAGTTGGG